CAAGAATAAAATTCAAGTGATAAATAACTATATTTAAGTCGGCACTTTGGGTAAAAGGGTTCAATTACTTCCAGAAACAACACGTTGAATAGTAATGGTATTTAATGGCGTCCGGTACGTGAGGGAGTACTGTAAACCTGGTGGCTGGCTTCACATAATTGGCCTTGAAGCCCCCACCACACATTACCCTTCGTGTAGCTTTTTGGTTCATTTTTTGTAAATAAAGCAAAACCCAGCTACGCAGACGCTACCGAACTTAGCTGATCTATTTTGGAATGGACCCTTTTAACTTCCGAGTTAGAATGGTGCAGACACACATCTCACGCTTTGATCGCAGTCATCGTTAATCTTAATTTAATGTGGTGTTTAGGGCTTTTTTGCTCTCGACAAAAAAAATGCAGGGCGGACAGCGCCTTCACGGGAGATAAACTTCAAAAAAGGGTTACTTTAAATGCGCGGCAAATTAGGGCGGACTATATTCGAATATTCGCAAATATTCTGGTTATTCGCACTAAACTTTATCCTGCTGAAGGCTCTCCGTTACCAACACAGAGAGGATACAATAATACTGCCATGCATTTTAACTAGCTTAACTCATCGCAAGCATCGACTGATGGGCAACAGTGTGATGTACACTTCTGTTTGCATTTCGTGTCTGTCGAAGCAAGTGTAAAACAGGTAATGATAATAGTGAGGAAGATTTTATCCAAGGAGTTACATTTTAACGTATTTGAAAAAAATCAATATTCATGCCAGAAGGAAAAAATCGAAGTCAGCCGAACGACTGGCTATGGCAATAAATCTTATGAGAAAAAGTTGGTTTATATTAGCTATGAAAAGCAAATTTTGTTCTGCCTGATTGGTTTGTATCATCCGCACAGTAAAATTGTCCTTCTTTGTACAGCCCCGGCGATGCTAAACTAAAGACAGTCTAGTCTAGGACGTTTAGCCTGGATTTACGCATTCTTATTTTATCTATCTTCATTCGTTAAAATCACAGATTTTAACGGAGGCCAAAAAGCAAATTCTTAGCGATGTACTAGTCTTCGTGAGGGAATGCTAAAACACTAACGCAGTTTGATTTGATTTACGAGGTTTGAGGAGATTCATGCGAATGAGATCAGGTTTTTTTACGACTGTTTTAGTATTGACCCAGTATAGCCTTAGCTGATTGATGTGTTGTTTTTTCGTGTGCAAATGAAAGCATTTAACGTGGTCTTTTTAAAGCTTCTGTCAATGTAATTTCAACTGAGTAAGCAGTTTCTGGGATAAATTTTCTAAACTAGTCAACCTTCACAAGGATTAGGTAGAAAAATGTGTGCATCACGATTAATATTTTCTTTGAAAACAAAATGGAAGAACTGAACGTAAAAGCATTCAAAAACGTTTGAACCGTTTTCGAAGGAAAGTATTTGACATGGATAGTTACGGTGCTGATAAACCATATACCTGAACTTAACCATTCTTTTAGACGTGTAGAGTACGTTATGCTGATTTAATGACATGTTGGAAGTCATAATGACCTTGCAGGGGGGCACATACGGCTACATGAACGTTAAACGCTATCGATAAGAAACATAGCTGAATTCAAAAGGCTGGGACATATTCAAAAAGAACACTCCCATTGAAACTGGAAATGTATTTCCTACTTCTTATTTAAGAGTTAGGCACTTATGCTTTCTGATCTTATTTTCATCTTAGAAAAGGAATTCAAGTGATTCTATTCCTGCAAAAAATCATCTGATACACA